ATAAGCCTGCTGTTTTTATTAGCCTGGGTTACTGTTTCCCACTATTTCAAGTGGAAATCTAATGAACTTTAAACAACCTTCGTGTAGCTATTTATTTCAGGTATTGTTAGTGCTGTGCTATCATAGTCCTTTGTATTGCAGTAATTGGTTACAATCGGCTGTGTTTATTTCACTGTTCCTTGCACATTATTTATGCACGAACAACCATTTTCTGATCCAATATGTAAGTTCTGTAGATTGACCAGTAGGTTCACAGTAGAACGAACACTTCTCTTTGGTGGGTGGATGGGTGCATTCGTGCATAAGATTTGCTTGTGCTAGTGTGCCTTTGTGAAAAAATGGGGCTTTTTGATCATGATGCTACACTATGCTACTGTGTTGCTAGCTAGCTGTCTAGGAGCCAACACTTCACAGAATCAGCAGATGACGCACAAGAAAGTGCCTTGAATTAAACACTGTATAAAATCGTGGGTGTGGCACATGTCATTCACATTCAAAGTTCCAAGCTACTTTGTGTCTGAATGCAGCTGTCTCTTTATAGTTCAGGAAAAGGCTAATGAATATTTTAACTATGAATATCAGAGTAGCATAAAAGGTTCTCATATTGATTTTTTTTTAATGCTCAGTAAGACAATAAATATGCATCTGTCACAACCTAAAAGATAAGAAATCTGCGTACATTTCCATTTATTGTGAATCCTTTCAAGCAATGCTTTGCTGATACATTATCTCACGCTATTAGGAGCAGAGGTCTGACTAAGATAGCACAAAATGGAGCCATATCTCAATTTATTGGGGCCACAATCGAAATAAAGAGGAGACTTCTCAGGCCAGAAAGACTTAAGAAAAGAGAAAATGTCAATTTCTCCCTCTGTAAATTATTTATGGATTGCATCTCGGAACATATCCATGTGAGGATTATAATGTTTGATCTGGGCTGTAACTAGCTAGTATGAGGGTTTCTGATCCTTGAATGGGAGCCTCAGAGTCTGTGGGTAGGACCCAAGCTAGTGAGTCTTATGTGTTCAGGTCTCACCCACTTCAGGTGTAGAAGACAATACAGATGTCGGTTCCTGTGTTTGGCAGATGGTATAACACCTCTAGATTGGTTGGAACTGATATTGTTGTTTAAATCTGTTTTAAATATTGTGTGTTAATGTTGCAGGCTCCAGTATCCACTGACCTCAGGAGAACACACACACTAAGTCTAGAGATACACATATGGTGGTCCACAGTCATAGTATGGCTCTGAATCCCAGGAACAATTCCTACAACTATTGCAGGAAATGTGTGCTGCCATGGTTGCAGAAATTGCAAATTACAACTCTATGCATGAACTCGCAGGACCACATTGTATTCTTAATGTGAATGTGTCTTTGGAAATAGTCAGCGTTCCCTTTTTTTTAATTAAAAAAATACCGGTAAGTTTCAAGTGTCTAAACTACAGAACAATGCATGTGTAACGTAGAAAAGAAATGATTAGCTGATATTTCATACAGAGAAGTAACATTTTGGAGATGTAATGGATCAGTTAAAAGTGAAATCATGGGCATCTGTCAAAGAAATGTGAGTATATTTGGATTAGGATCGTGACACTAAATTATTATTATGGCTATGTACTTGGATTCTGCTCAGACCAAAATTATGTGGTTGGGGCTGAAGGAGGCAAGCCGCTCTGTAGAGGGGGAAATAAAACATGTCAAAGATCTATTGAGGAGTATTTCACAGTAGTTTTGCAAAAATCAGTAATTGAAATAGTGTAACAAATAGCTCATTGCTAGTTGCGAGAACTGAGTATGTGGTGTTTTCAGTTCAGAAGTTATAATTATGGGGGGGAATGGAATCAAAACATTTCATGCAACTATCAGCTTCATTTTGTCAGTTCATTGTCTGACTTACATAAGGGTGAATGTTTAAGAACGAGGCTTGATGAGGATTCATATTAAAGCAGTCCATATGTGCAAGTGAGCTGGTTGAAGTCCCTGTCTTACTGTGGAACAGTGGGATGCATTGGGCTCTTGCCTGGAGATAGTTCACACCTTTGTTTCCCCCAGTGTTTGTACTTTATATAATCAAACACCTAACATTTTTCCAGCTGCACATTATAAATCCCTGTTATGCTCCCCAGTGACTTTTTTCCCAGAGGAAACAAAACCTGAGTAAGCACAGCACCCCTGGAATTTCTCAACATTTGGAAATGTTAGGGCAAGCCTCAGAGTATAATAGCTGCAGCCAGATTCATTGTGAGATTAAGTGTTCTTTAACTTAAATAAAAACCCCAGCAACCCAGCAACCTTAAGCTCCAGGGGCCTCAAAAGTAAGTCTAAACAAACAAATAAGGAAACTGTGATGAGGAAGCAAGCCAGTGCAGAACAGTCTGTTGCAGAGTAAATGAACACAGCACAGAAGAACCTTCTACAACGTGTAATAGTGTGCGTGGGAGTTCTCCGGCAGCAATCCATGGTGTTAGAATAGGGCTGTTGCAAGTATGCTGGTGTGCGACTATTTCCATCTGTGAAATGTTAAAGGAGATGCAAATGTATTAGCACTAAACACAATTCACAACACAGGAAAACCTGTTCCAGATTATGTTACTTGTTCAAGAAGTTTCAGAAATTTTCTTTAGCTTATATATGCACACGAGAGATTTGGATAAAAAGAAACAGTGCAATCTTATTCATATCTACTCAGAAATAAGCTCTATTGAGGTCAATAGAATTTACTTCCAGGTAAGTATATATAAGATTGCAGCCTAAGGCAATTTCAAGACGAAGAGCTAACAGTGAGGCAAGAGTGTCAGAGAGCAAAATCTGTGCCGTGAATGGAAAATGCTTTTAAATTTGGGGCTGCATGTTGTCCTTTCATAGAAAAGAGCCTCAGAGAATCCTGAAAGACCAAATTTTCAAACAGGGTTTAATGTTTTGTCTCTCTGTGTGTGCTTTAAACAAGCTATGGTACATAGACGAGTGCCACATTCTCAGTGGGGTTGCACAGATATAAACTGAGGCTGGTGTTGGGCCTGGCAAGGCGAGAGGGAATGAAAAGCTCCAGTGTTTAATCACTGGTATTTTTATCAGTTCTAACCCTAGAGAAGAATTTGTGTCAAATCCACCCGACTGGAAAAAAAACAAATGTTAGGTTGGGAGAAGCCTCTGAGGTTGGATTCCAAACAGAATTGGAATGCAGCAAATACTTTTACTGCTGTCAGAAAACTATATATGGAATATCCATTTTAGATGGCTGGAAAATGCCCAGACAGAAAAGTTCACTAGCTTAATGTTATTAAAATGGGAGGTGGGCACCCTTATAGAGATTAAAACCATGGCTGGGGGAGATGGATGCACTACCCTTTTCCTGAATTGTTTTCTGCAGAAACATGCTGGGGTGACTTTCCCTCAGTTGTAGATTACATCATGCTTTGCATGCAAAAGGCCCCATGTTTAGTTCCTACCATCTCTAGCTAAAAGTATCAAGTAGCAGATGATGTGATAATCATATGCCTGAACATCTGGAGAGTCACTGTCAGTCACTCCTCACAAACCTTCAGAAGTTTTGGGCTTCAACTCCCATCAGCCCCAACCAGCATGACCAAGAAAGATGGGAGTTGTAGTCCAACAATCTCTAGAGGCCACCAGTCTGTGGGCTGGAAGAATAAATTTTCTAACTGAGCATAAGGCAGCTTTTTATGTTTTTGCTTCGGTGAGATTGTTTTTCTTTTTGCCTTACCCCTTTTTACACAACCGTTTTCCAGCAGCTGCAGCTGCTGTGGGCTCCTCTTGGCTTTTTTGTGGCATGGAAGCCACTGCAGTGTCACCCTTCCCAAAGCTCAAGATAGTGTCAAAAGTAAGAGTTCTTTTGGGAGTAGTCTGCACTATGCCTTCTTCCCATGCCGGTGCTGTTTTAGTTCCTTGCAAGGGTGATGCTGACATGGGAAAGAGCAGTGACATGGTCTTCTCCATAGCAGGCTCTCACACCACTAATGATATTTTCAGAAAGGGCAGAGAAGTAGGATTTTCATTTATGGCTGTTTTCACATTGCTTTCATCAGGACAGCAGCAGGTGAGGAAAGAATGGCCCTAGTGAAAATCAACCCCCTCCTTTTGCCTGCTATTAGTGTGGGGGGGGGGAAGAGACCTGATTTGGTCCCCAGTGAAATTTAGTGTCATGTGTAATGGGGCCTTAGTTACACTTGGTAAGGCTCAAGTATTTGTTATTTTGATTTGAGGAGGATTGCAAACCTCTGGTATAGAACAGAAGCTTAGTGGGGGTGGAAAGAGATCTGTTTATTTTTTTTAAAGTTGTGCTGTTGCCATATTGTATTTTTGAAGCTGACCATTTATTCAGAAGTGAGGAACAACTAGCAGCCCAGTACGCAGCGTTGCTCTGGAATTTTTAACCTCCCCCCCAAAAACACCACCACCACCACTGCTGTTTTGAAATCAGTGATTAAAATGAGTACAGTTTTGAAAGGATCAGCCCACCATCTTTATTCAAAAGGCTATCCAGTTGTATTGAAACATAGATTGATGATGCAGTGTAAGATGTCTAGTGAGTGTAAGAGGTCTAGTCCTTGCTTAAAGAAGCTAAAATTGGACACTGTGGGATAGGAATGGGAAGAATATGCATGCTGTTCAGCTATAGCTGAATTACAGTCAGAAGTGACCTGCTAGACGGGTGAGAGCCACAACACTAGCTTCCTGCCAGGTAGGTAGCAGCCACTTACCCGGAGCAGGAGGTGGTAGGGATGCCAGTGTGGTGCAAACGAATCAGCAAAAGCACCAGATTAGTTCCGCTGGTACCATTGCACTATGCCAACCTCCCTGCTGCTTCACTTCACCACGCGGTAAGCAACAGCAACCCATCTGCCAGGTAAGTGGCATGGTGGCTCTTGTCTCTCCTAGTGAATTTATGAATGTAAATTTGTGCCAACACCTTCATGGCAAAGTTGGGTTTTGAGGAGTGAAGTAGTATCGTAGAAGTATGCCAGGCACAGGGAACAGTAAGGGACAAAAATGGATTTATTTGAGGAGCAGGAGGTCTTTTTCCCCCCTTTTCTTTTCTTTTCTTTTCTTTTCTTTTTGGACAGTTTGAAGGTTCTGGAGTTGGAGGAGTGAAGGTCACAGGCAAGGATTTATCGGAATATGCACTAGACAGTAAGCAGAGAGGTAATACAGAGTCTTCATCATTTGAGGGAGTTAAAAGCATGTCCTGCATCTCTTCGGTAATCCACAGATGTCATCATGAGTAAGCCAGTCCCTTTCCCTTCCCTGTGTAGTTTACCCTCATGAGACAGCACTTTGCTTTGTCTGCCAAGCCTAATAACCGCATCTGGCTCCTAATAACTTCCTTGAATGAAATAAAAAGATGTAAATAATTAATATGTCTTAAATAATTCAAGCTGGAAATACAGTACATAAATTTAGCAAACTGACCATGATAATGAGTAATTATCCTTAATTAATCCATAAAGCTCACAGCTAGGAGGAAATTGCATATTAAAGTGATATGGTTCATATAGTTGTGTTAGTGGAAACTGGATTATAAAGTATAGGTCTGACAATATCTACTGTATATTTTGAAAAATGCTTTGTTTGTTCTCTCTGTGTTTGGATACCTCTCAGGATATTGTTGCACAACTCATCTCGGGGGTTTCTGAGGTGGGGGTGTTGGCATTGCATTTGAACCCCAGGTGCCATTTGGAATCATTTTCCTCCTTTCCCCCCTCTTTTTTAAAAATAAAATGTTATTAAGATCTTCATAATACATTACAATAAAAAAACTAATCTAAGCAAAACTGGAAACTTAAAGAAGAAATAGTCCTTTTTCACAGATAAATCTTAACTTGCCCCACATAGAGAAAGGTGAACCCTCCCAGGTTTTCACCTGGGGGCTTCCTTTTCTTCTCCCACCCTTCTACCCTGGGAGATCTTCCCTTCCCTACATCACACTCAGGGATCTTCATCAACTATTCATTCACCTGCATGTTAGCCCCTCTTTAATGCTGAATAGAGGACCACAAAAAATACAAAAGCAAACAAAAACAAAGCAGAAAAGGAAAGGGAACAAAGAGATAATATTATTAAAGGAAATAATATAGGAATAAAGAGGAAAATAAAACATATAAGTAAAAAGGACTTCCAACTACCCCTGTCAGTTGTACATACAATAATTCTTCAAAATAATCAAATGTTACTCCTTTGTATTCAAACCTCTGCTAGTGTTTAAAACTGCTATAAAACCTGCCTTCTCTTTTGCTCCCTTCCCCTATTCTGACTTTGTGCAAATCCAGAATTGGGATGAGGCACTACAAATTCTCCAGTGGTGGCTCCATTCCGATTTCATGCAATCCACAATTATGATACCGCACTATAAATCCTTCAATGGGGACTGCACGATGGCAGCCTTACATTTTTATGTATATAGGAAGATACACCAATAACTATCAAAACTAGCTGAATAAAACCTTAATAGAATTATTGGCCAAAAGCCTGAATGAATAAAATACAGTCTTTACATGTTTCCTGGATGTAGTTAAAGAGGGGGATGGCCTGCTTTCCCTTGGGTGAGATCCATAGCCTAGGGTGCCACTGCCAAGAATGCCCTATTGTAGGTTCCTGTTCTTCATACTATTCCTGCTGGTGGGACCACAATTTGGCCTATGTCCCAGATTACCAATTTTGAGTTGAAAGGTATTGGAGAAGGCACTCTTTCATATATGTACTTGCTCCCTCAGGGGGAATGTTACATAGACTAGAACAGGTCAACATTCCAGTTACTGAACCTGTGTATTGTTGACCCACAGGATATGATACGATACGATACGATATCTTTATTGTCATTGTCCCTTGTGGAACAATGAAATTGAAAACTACATAAAACTACATAAAACTACCACAAAACTACATAAAACTACATAAAAACTACATAAAACTACATAAAAACTACATAAAACATTCAAAAACCCCTAAAAACTCTAAAACCCCATTTTAAAACACACTATACTACAGAAACCCCTTATGCTGAGTTTAGAACCAGAATTGCATTAGCGTAGAAACTGTTTTTCAGGCGGCTAGTCCTGGCCTGAATGACTGTCAGTGTCCAGATACTGATTCACCTGAATACCTTCTCTTGGTTCAGGTAGAACCAAGAGATAGTATTGAGTATCATCTGCATGCTGCATGCATAACAGCTTCCAATAGTTTTATATAGATGTTAAAGAGCAGTGGGGTTAGAATGCATGAGGAATGCATAGTACATATACATACCATGGACCTAAACAGTAGTCATTCAGTAGTGTTCTTTGGTAATGAACCTGTAAGCAGAAGTTCGGAGTGATCCCAGAAGGATATCATAATCAGTGAAAGCAAAAGCTGCAGAGTTATCATGGAGAATCATAAGCGTAGCACTTTCACTATCTCTCTCCCAGTAAAGGTTATCAGTGAGGGGGACTAAGGCTGTTTTGGTACCATAACCAAGCCTGGAGCTCGACTGAAATGTGCCTAGATGAGTAACATGCCTTTAAAATTGCTCAGTATATAAAAGTCAAATTCGGTCATCAGAAATCTGACAAAGTCATTTGACTTACGATCTTCAAATACTTCTCTAAAATATATGCTTATTTCATTCATTTTGAAAAGTTTGGATGAATGATTGAAAGCCTAAGGGCAGGTTTGTCTTGCATTCTGGTGAAGTGATGTGATGACTCAAATATGGTCGTGGAACACGAGACACTAGAGGGCACAATTGTACCTTCAGATTTTGTATTTTATCCTTCCCATAAATTAACACAGAAAGAAAATCTGATGAATGTGGTGCATGGTAAACCTACAGCCCATTTAAGGCAACAGATAAAATGCTAAACAAAAAAAGCAACAGAAAAAAGAAAGGAGGGGAATTAACTTTCTGATTGTTTTCGGCTATAATAAGAAGGAAAAAACATGACATCCGCTTACTAGAAGGATAAAAATACAAATTATATTTGAAAAAGAGAAGTCAATGTATTCGCAAAAGAACAGTGACATTTAAGAAAAATGGCACAGAAGTTACACTATTGTATTTGAATGGCAGAAATGCATTATAAATCTATTTGCTGTTAGCTAGCCTATCATTATGAAAAAAGGCAAGATGTTGCAAGCATTATCTCTTTCATGATGTTATATCGGCAATGCAACCACTAATAGAATGTTTAGTAACAAAAGTGAGAAAGCTTTTTGGCCTTGCAGATCTGCAGCTTTCATGAAATGTCACCAAAGCTATTTGATGCAGAATTGAAATAGTATGTTAGCTTTATAGCCTTAACAGAAGGGATAATTATCAGGACCCCAAAACATATATTTAGAAAGCATGTAAAGACTTTTAGGAAGGTCATAGACTAAAAAGGTCACTTTGTATCCCTTAAAACTCTTTAAGAATGCCATTCATGCCAAGTCACATAATAATAAAGGAATTTGTAGGTTTAAAAACTGAGTTTCACTTGGACACATGCCCCTGTTCTGGGGTACTGTCTGAAGGCGCATGGAGCAGCACCCTTGATGGAACTAAGTGGACCAGGCCTAGCCAATGTTTGAATGAAAGGTTGCCTGGGAGTCCAAGGTATGTTGCTTTCAGTTCCATTAAAGAAAGGTATGAAACGAATGATGTGGTGACACTGTGCAGGACATAAACAAGAATACCATTGGGGGGTGCGTGCGGCGGAATACGTCAAGGTGTGGCAAGCAGATAGATTGTGAGCAAGGTTTCTACAGGGGTAGCTTGCGGTGCCCTCCAGAGGTTGAACTACAAATCCCATCATTCCTGATCATTTACTATACTGGCAGGGACTGGGAGAAATGTAGTTCAACAACAGCTAGAGGATACCACATTTGCTACCCAGCTTTACAGCATATCTTTGATACCGTAATGGTTAGAAAGATGCTACTTTTTGAATTCACATTCTTTGTCCGTCCCCCCCCCCCAATGCTCCTGTGGAATCCCAGACTTCATGCAGATTGTAGTAGCACCCTTTTATTACTTACGGTTAGTACACACTCCCTGTAGTCCCCTACATTATATATTATTTGAGAAAGACACAGTTGGGTGACTATGATCCTGTTCCCTCTTCTTCTTGATACTGTCAGGCAGTGTGGATTGCGTCATTTTGTAGTTTACTGGAAACCTTGTACCTGGTGTTGCTTGGGAATTCTGAGAAACCACAACACAAAAATCGGGGCAGTTTTAAAAGCTTAACTTCACTATCTTGATCCAAAATGACATCTAATTATATCCAAACATAGACAAATATTTATTTATTACATTTATATACTGCCTTTCAACCAGATATCACTGTGCAGTAATATTGCAGCCATATTACAGATGAGTTGGAATGAGGCTGAAATATATCATGCCCATATTGTGGGGGTGGGGCTGAGACAGAGGCCCTAAATTGTAGTTTGTTCTTCAGAGTCTTGTTGTGTTGGGTATTTGAGCTCTATATGCTGAGAGAAACTAGCTTGTAACTTAGATGAAAGTACAAGTCTTTTTGCATTGCCACCTCTGTTTTCCTCTCCCCACTCACTTAAATCCAGGTTCCTGGGGTTTGGTTTATACGCCTCTCTCAGGATCAAAAAGTACAGTAGAGTGATATCTCGGGTTAAGAACTTAGTTCATTCCGGAGGTCCATTCTTAACCTGAAACTGTTCTTAACCTGAAGCACCACTTTAGCTAATGGGGCCTCCCACTGCTGCCGCACGATTTCTGTTCTCATCCCGAAGCAAAGTTCTTAACCCGGGGTACTATTTGTGGGTTAGCGGAGTCTGTAACCTGAAGCATCTGTAACCTGAGGTACCACTGTATCTGAAATATTTTGGCTGTGAATCCTGGAGGACCTGCTTCCTGCCTTGCAGGCCTTGACTGACTCCAGCCACAAAAGCTGAACAGACTCTTGGGTTGGGGTATTGTTTAGGGCATTTTGTTTCAAGGTTCTAATGCTGTTATTATTGCTCTAATTGTTTAAAATGGTTTTTAACTTGTGTGTTTTTAAATTTGAATTTGTTATATTTAAGGAACGTAATATGTTCCTGGGAAGAGAGGAGCAGGGGTGCCCCCAATCATAGTGGTTCTGGGCAAGGGGTGGGGCGGGGCACACTAGATAAGGGGCACACGACACAGGCAGTTGGTGACTATGCCATGCGCCAGCCCCTCCTCCAACCTGGGGAATTGCAGTTGTCTGCAGCTGCTGTTGTTGAATTCCAGGTCAGCTCTGAATAAGTCACCCCTTGCCCATGGTGTGATTATGGATGAGGAGGCTGATCTGGTCTGTATCACTGAGGCCTGGCGACTGGCTCAGAACTCCATAGCTGCCATGACAACAATGGGGCTGTCCCAACATGTCACTGGCCCAACATATGTGGCAGGCCGCACTGGACCTTGTTTTCTCAAAGGGGTAGGGAAAGGATGATCTGAAAGTGGTGGATATTGCATCAGTCCCTTGTTATGGTCAGATGCTTCTTTCAGCATCTTTTCCCTTCTGCAGGAGCAGCGAACTGATTAGGATGGTCCACTCTCAGAAGCTGATGAATTCAATGGGTTTCCAGATGGCTCTGGGGGATTTTCTGACTGGTATGACTGGCACTCCTCTGGGACATCTGAATGCTTTGGGCTGATGATACAATTGTCCCTGAGTGCCCCCTCCCGCTTCATGGAGACTGCTTGGCTCCCTGGTATACTCCAGAGTTTAGGACAAGGAAACAAGCTGGGAGGCAGCTCAACCGTGAGTGGAGGAAAACTCTGGCTGAACCCACAACCCTTAGATTTAAAGACTCATGCTCCACTGACTGAGCTATCCTTGCTCTTGCTAATGGTCCAGGGTGGCTGATAGTTTCTCAGTGGACTCTCATAGTTGGATAGTACCTGCATATCACTCTTCAGCTTTTAACAAGTTTATTTTTCTCACTTCCACGCCAACTGGGGAGTGTGTGATGATATAAAATATATTCATGAAGGGACGAAAGAAGCAGGGTGAGCAAGAAAGAGCTAAGAGTTAGGGTGTGTGCTCATCAGTGTCTTAGAGTGCAGTGAAGTTGTGATCTCTTGCCCCATGTGTTTCACAGCTCTTTATCCCCAAGCTGTTCACATCAGCATGATTTCATTAGTGTCAATTTCATTTCTATTTGTGTTCGCACCAGGGGACATCAACCATAGTTGGTGCTATGGCCCTTCTTCATCTTTACCTACTTTGGTTTTCATACAGCAGAGATAGTTGCCTACTAACCACAATTCTTCTGCTATCCTAAGTCCAACAACATGGCAAAGTCAGGAATAAAAAAATGGCTTAGCTGTTGTGATGTCACAGAGGGATGACATTCTGGGGCCTCATGATTGACTGCTTAGACTTAGATAGAGGCAGCGTACACACCATACATGTAAAGCACCCACCTAGAATCCTGGGAATTTGAGAGTGCTGGGAATTGTAGCTCTGTTAGGGGTAAGCTACAGTTCCCAGGATTCTTGGAGGCAGATGTGCTTTAAATAGATGGTGTGTCCATAGTCTGGAGTAGGCAGCATGTACATTGGGGGCTGCTGGGAGAACTCTGGGTGATTTGCAGCAGATTGGCAGAATTTCTGACTCAAAATTGTTTTAACAATAGCAGCAAAGGTGCCTCCTCCTGCCCTAAATTAAGACAGTGTGGGGAAAGAAGAAACATGGAATACATTTTGGTTTAATGGAATGTAAACTCAGTTCTAGTACTGAGACAGATTTCTGGGCTGCACACCTACTGAGATGCATCCTGTTCCATGTATGTCCATACTCACTCACCCCACCAGCTAGGTTTAGGAGTAATATGTATTAGAATTACAGCAAGCAGAGGGCCGTGTGTGTGTCTGTGTGTGTGTGTGTGTACACAAACACACACACTTTTTGTAACTGTCATCCTGTACAATATTAAATGCAGAATTGCAACTTTGATCTCACTGACATAATGTTCATTTATAAAGGATCCACTTCCGAGTATAATAAATCAGCTCTTCTGAGGACTTGCTATGTAACACATGGGCCTAGTTGATTATAAATTATAGCAAAGTGGTCTATTACTGGCAGGAGGAGATAAGGTGTGCTGCTGGGCTTAGAAGGCTGTTGGATGAGTAGTCCGGAACTCCAGACATCAGACGTTGCTAGTACAGCTAAGACTGTTGGTACTGGAAGCTAGCAAGAGCAGAAGCAATAAAATATAAAATGAGCTATTTATACATACATACATATAATGACTAAAGTATCTATGAATGTCTTTCCATTTCCTGATATGACTTACAGTTGTGGTTTTTCTTAAATTTGTTATTCTAAACTGTTTTATTATTGTCTCAGAGCTACAATGAAAATGTATTCTGCATTTTGTAAGAATTGCTGTAGGCTTCTGGAAATGGGAGATGACATTTCTGGTGTTGTGAGATGAGTTACGTTGAGTGCAGATGCTTGATCTTAGCTGCCACAGCAAATAATGCTTTGAAAGTAAACAATGCCAAAGTGGTAACACGAAAGCTAGTGTACAAATAAATTTGATATATTTTACTCAGCTGTGTTATAACCCATATTTATGCATGAGATCGGCTAACATGATATTGAAGGGTGATGCTACAAAGATGCTGTTGAAAGCTTCAGGAGCAAAATGTTGAGGAGGGAGGTTGCCATGTATATTCTACATTCATTTAGGAAATTCTGACTTTGTTTCATACAACCAGTTTTTAAAATATATCAGAAATAGGTCAAGAACCAAAGGCCAGGTGAAATATTAAGCTAGGAGCTGTTTTTCTGATACCCTGCTCCTGCAGGGGTGTGAGACCAAACTTCTACAGTGAGGTTACAATGTGTGGGAGGGAGGGAGGTTGTAATGAAGTCGAGCCAACCAACACTAAGGAAAAAGTTGGGTCTACAGTAAGCTCTCAAAGCAGTGGCAGAATAATCTTTGCTGCTCACACCAGAGAATTTAGATATAGGGATCAGCTGCCTTACTAAATCACCTGTTCTGGCCAACTACTGCCCAATAACCTTTTTACATCTAGTTTGTGGTTTCACAGACCCAACCCACAGCTTGGGTTGCTTGGATACAGGAATTGTGAATGGCAAACAGCATGAATTCCTGCCTAACAGGTTTGAAGTTCCAGATCCATTGGAGGGTGAGTGGTATTAATGACACTTACAGATAGGGTGAAGTACAAGATAGGCAACTCAGGTGTCTACCTAAGCAGCTGAATTAGGTAGTAGAAGACTGAGGTAGAGAACTGAGGCAGTAACGTGGGGGAACTGAGGCAGCTGGGGCGAAATGTGCTGGCCTTGTTCTCTCCTTGCTGTACTAATATTCTACTTACACAGAGGCTTTTTTTTCGTTTTTGTGTGCGAGTGTGTGTGTCGTATTTTTTAAAAATGTTATGAAGCACTGAAAGGTGTGGTTGCTGAGGCCAGCTCTGTATACACAGCAGATTGAAAAGTCAGAATCCTGACATGATAGAGTAGAGCAGGGGTAGTAGTCAACCTTTTTATACCTACTGCCCACTAATGCACCTTTCTTGATGGTAAAATTTCCTTACCACCCACCAGTGCTTGGTGGAAGGAGGATTCAGTTTGTGCCATAGAATCCCCTACCACCCACCTAGAATCCTAAAATGCCCACTAGTGGGCGGTAGGGACCAGGTTGACAACCCCTGGAGTAGAGTATTCCCAACTAAGGCATGTAAAGGCCCTGCAAGCAAAAGTTACACATCAGAGAGAGATGCTTTAGCTCTGCTCATTCCCTGTTGTGCTAGTGTTCTATCTGCAGGGACTTCTTCAGGTAGGAGAGCAGCCTAAAGTGGTATGGTCCATTCTCCAACTCATTCCCAATTAGTTCAGTTGCATGTGCAAACAAAGCCTCAAGAGTCTGGACCTTTAAGAAATTACAAGAGCACAGAAGTGGTAGAGTTAGGAGTAGTCTGTAAATGATCAACTGATGGTGCAAAAGTTTCCATTGCCCGCTAGTTACAAACCCTCCAACATTTTTCCAGTGCAAATAGGGACATTGTATTTAACAATAACAACAATAACACTCTGAGCAGTGTCCAACATACGTAAAAACATAACAAAACATCAAACATTAAAAATAACTTCCCTGTGTCTTCTAAAGGTTGTATAGCAGGCATGGCCAAACTTGGCCCTCCAGATGTTTTGGGACTACAATCCCCATCATCCCTGACCACTGGTCTTGTTAGCTAGGGATGATGGGAGTTGTAGTCCCAAAACATCTGGAGAGCCTAGTCTGGTCATGTCTGTTGTATAGTTACTTATCTCCCTGGCTCAGGAACCAGATAACTGCCACACCCACCAACATTTCTCCACTGAAAATAGGGACATCCTAAGGAATAGCTGCATATTCCAGGATCAAATCAGAAACCAGGACAGCTTCTGTAAATCTGGGACTGTTCCTGGAAAATAGGGACACTTGGAGGGTCTGTAGTTATCAGTTCTTCCTTTTGTTGCTGAATTAACCTATTTCCGCCTATGCCTAGTTCTAATGCCAGCTAAAGTTTTTTGTGAGTCTGAATGAGACAAATACTATTCTAATTTGGACCCAGATTTGGCTATATGAAAGTATCTAAAGCTGATTTTATTTATTTTATTTTTTATAGAATAACCTAATAAAAACATTTCAAAACATGCCATGCTTGGCGCATGCAAGGTTTCTGACTGAATAAACAGCATTGTTTGGCTTAATTATCTCCTGCACGAAAGTGATTACCTGTCTCTGAGACTTGTTTCATCTTAGCTAAAGAAACCCTGCATGAGGCTTTCAGTTATGCTCATGGCTCATTGCTGTATATTAACTTTTATCTCTTTACAATCTTATAGAAAATAGCACTTCAAATTGGGCCCTCTGGATTTGTCTTTTGGAGACTGATTTGAACATGTATGTATGTACATAATTCAAATGCTCAATCATGGAATGATTTGCACACACACGTGATGTTTCAGTCCTTGTGTGTGGATCAGTGTGTTGTTGCAAATATGTGTGTGTGTGTGTTTAAAAGGAGGGCAATTAGATATGAACTACAGTAGTACCTCAGGTTAAGAACTTAATTCATTCTGGAGGTCCGTTCTAAACCTGAAACTGTTCTTAACCTGAGGTACCACTTTAGCTAATGGGGCCTCCCGCTGCTACCGCGCCACTGCCACACGATTTCTGTTCTTATCCTGAAGCAAAGTTCTTAACCCGAGGTACTACTTTTGGGTTAGCAGAGTCTGTAACCTGAAGCGTCTGTAACCTGAGGTACCACTGTATATAGAATAGTTTTGCAGCATGAAAATGTACACAGGACAGAAATAATATTTAATATGCAGGACTGGTAACTGCTCGGATTTGGCTGGATCTTGATTCATGTTCTTACTGTTTCCCCACTAAAAGTGTTATTTTTGTCCTGCAGCATGTCTCTCTGCTACATTCCCTGTGCCTCCCTTTCCTGTGTGCGTCCTTTTCTTGGTGCCCAGGGTGCGCATGCCAGGCGGGGGTGGGGCATGGAGGGTCAACAGAACCCACTGCGCCAGCCCAGGCCTCACCGTCAACACTACCAGGCATGCACACTACCCCATGCACGGGGTGCGGAGGATTCACAGAGCCCATGTGCCACTTCAGCCCTAGCCACTGGAGCCAAGCAAGGCTGCATTGTGCCCCAGCCCACCCATGCAGGAAGGAGGCAGGCCCTTGGTGGGCAAATCCCCCCGACACTGGCCAGACGGCTATTCAGCAAGGCAGCTGGGGATGCGGTGGCGAGGCCAGGCTCCAAGGTCTAGACCCCCAGTGGCAGGCAGGGCAGGATGGGGATCCTTGCATGGGGGCATCTGGCTCATGCCTCCTAAAAATTGTGTGCTCAGGGCTATGACCCCCTGGGTCCCCCCGCACACTATGTCCCTGGTGCACACCCATCTGCACATACATTTGCATTACAGAGCTGCTTAAGGATGGGTATAGCAAGCTATCCGGAAGGACATTTTACTGAACCAGTTTAACTACGCTGCTGTTTTTCTTCTACCCCACAAATTCATCAAGGATGAAGGGATCTACCATATTCAACAACAATAATAAACAGGGAGAAGTTGGTCTTTGTGAACATATTTTCCCTTTTATGTTATTTATTATTTCAGGAGGTGCAAGGAAATACAAAAATAAC